ATATATATATATAGGTATAGATATATATAGGTTTAAACACAGAGACAGACACAACAAAAACAAAGCATCGTACCTCTCCCGCGTGAACTGCAATTCGATCCTAACCCATCCCTAAGTGCGCGAAGGCTACAATTCCAGCCCCGGGTACTGCTGCTGCGCGTCCTCTCCCAGCACGCGGCGCACAGGGTCAAAGAACGGGTGCTGCATCGCCTCGCTCGCCAGGATACGCTCCTGGTGGTCCATCTTCAGCATCTTGTCGAGCAGGTCAAGCGCCTGCACATCGCACCACGACGTATTGATGTTGTTCATGAAGGTGTACCACGGCCGCTTCGGCCAGTTCGACGCGAGGCAGCGATCCGCCAAGTGGCGTGGCAGGTGGACTTTGTACTTCTGCACATACCGCGAGAGGTCCTCCACGCCGAGAACGCTCACTATCTGGTGTAGCTGGTCGTCGTTGTCGTCGCCGCGGAATAGAGGGTAGACGCGAAACAACAGCTCGGCAAGGATACAGCCGACGCTCCAGATGTCGAGCGAGTAGTCGTACAGCCGTAGACCGACGAGCAGCTCCGGCCCCTTGAAGTGCCGCGTGCCGACGCACACGTTGTACGCCTGCCCATGCAGGTAGTACTCCGCGAGACCCCAGTCCACAATGCGCAGCTTGCGGCGGCAGTGGTCGATGATGATGTTCTGCGGCTTGATGTCGCGGTGGAAGATGCCGCGGCTGTGGGCGAAGTGGAGACAGCGCAGCACCTCGTAGAGGTAGTAGCGCATGTCGAAGTTCGACAGCCGGCCGCTGTCCATGAGTGTGCGGAAGTTGTCCGCCGGCTCGATGTTCTCTGTGACGAGCACCGGCGTGTCCTCGCACGCCACCTGCACGACGTCCAGCAGACGCACAACATTAGGGCCGCCGCAGAGGTTCTGCAGAATTGTGATCTCGCGGCGTATCTTCTTCATCCGCACGGGCTTGAGGATCTTCAGTACGCACGACTCGCCGTTGCAGCGGTTGCGGGAGCGGAACACCTCCGAGTACTTCCCGCGGCCGATCTTCTGGATCAGCTCGTACGGCTCGTCACTATTGTATTCAATCGTCGCGTTCTCGTAGTCCCAGTACGTCGGCGGCATGCTGTTGTTGACGAACCAGAACGGGTGCCGGAACTCGCGGTGGGGCGCACTTCCGCCGTCACCGCTGCCCTTGTTGCTGTTGTTTTTGTTGTTGTTGTTGTTGTTGGAGACTGCCAAACCGGCGAGCCAGTTCTCACCGGCTCTATTGGCTGAGCGCTGCGCTTGCACGGACGCGAATCTCGCTGGCGTGCTAAACATGCTCGTTGTGCTTTTATCCGCCATTTGAAGCGGCGCGCTATTCTTATTCGTGTCGGTGAATCGCAAAACAAAACAAAAAAGCGACGCACGCAAACGTCCACACGCGAACGGGTCTCTGCGCGTGGGAGCAATGGGAATGCGTCAGCACCTGTGTGTGTGTGTGTGTGTGTGGGAGATGACGGAGCAGAACACCTCCCTCGGCTTTGAGAGTGGAAGCACTACACGCATCGTCGTCGTCGTCGTCACGGCCACCAGGAGCAGCGGTGCGCAACAGGAGGGGGAATGAGAGGGAGAGGGAGAGAGAGATAAGCACAAAGGAAAAGGGGGTCACACCGTCAAAGACCAATGAGGAAACAACAACCAAAAAAAAGTGGAGTTCTGCTATATAACAGGCAACAAACAACAACAACAACAACGGGGCATTTCCCTCAGCCTGGGAGCGTCGTCGTCGTCGTGGCGTGCAATTCAGAGTCAGCAACTATAACACCGTACAAATAAATATAACACAAAAAAAACAACAACGAGGCGCAATTTGCCCAAACGCCCTTCGGTAAACAATGGGCACGCTGCGCCCTGCGACAAAAACGCCACCAGTTGCGCACATGTGGTTTAAAAATACACATTACGAGGGCGATGCACAGACGGCCAAGGCACACTACGCGCATCCACACACACATATATATATATATATATATATATATATATATGTATAGAGAGAGAGAGAGGGGTGTGTGTGGATGCGCGTAGAGTCCTACACAGACCGGCGCACACAGCGTGTTCAACAAAGCGGTGCGCTCCTCCCATGTGTTATAGCTGCTTCTGCTGTTGCAGAGTCTCTAGTAATGAAATAACAACAATAATAACGTCCGCAGCGGAGGGGTCACTCTCCCACGCAGCCGCTCATCCTTCGTTCCATCTTCGAAGAACTGCACGCTATGCTACCACCAAGCACACACACCCACACCCACATATTGACCGCGACCAGGGGAGGCACATATCCCCTGGCTCCCATTCACATGAAAATGGTCCCTCGCTCTATTACAGTCCCCTCAATTCGTCAAACTCATCCTCATCACCGTCGCTTGCAACCCCAACGTCGCTGTCCGCACCATTGTAGCCAGCAGGTGGTGGGCTAAGCGTGACGAACGGACTCTGAGTCACCTCAGGGAGAAGCAGCCTTGATGCGAGTTTGGCGCTATCCTCATCCCCGCGGAATTCCGCTGCCTGCAGCCGTTGAATCTGCCGATCAATATCTCGCAGAAGCACCGACTTCCGCTGCGGCGATGCGGAGAGGGCTCCTGCTCCACCGGCACGTGGCGACGAGTGCTTCAGGCTTTCTCCAACCCCGCTGCGGCTAAGAGAGGCGGGGGATGGCCAATGTACTTGTACCTCGTTCTTCTGCATATCACCTTCCTGCTCCTGCTCCTGCTCCTGCTGCTGATCTGGCAGGTGGTGATGTCGCTCAAAGTAAAAGCTCACCTGCTGCAGCAGCGGGATAAGGTTCCCCGCATGAAGCGACACTTCGTCCGGGCACGGCAGCGAGGCAGTTCCATCACTTCCTTCGCATTCTTGTCCTTGTTCTTTCTGGGCATCGGGTGCTCCTGACGAGGATGAGATCTGCACCCCGTCACCGCTCCGTTGTCGTTCCACCGCAGCCTGCCGCTCCTTTTCGTCCTTGTGGAAGTATATGAGCAGCGGCAGCTTCACGTTCTCTTCACCATAGATGTGGAACCACTGGATGAACTGCGATAGTGCGTGAACTGCGCCTGGCATGATGTTCACCACAACATCATGCAGCAGCCAACGTCGCGCCTTTGCTGACTGCGGCGTGATGGCGAAGAGCTTCCGTACGCGACGGCCATGCTCCAGCGCACGGCGTCGCGTGTGCTCCAGCGCCGCGGTCGTCAGCTGCGTGTAGGGGATGCAGAAGTAAAAGAGATCGCCCTCCTGAAGCTCGTCCAGCGACCACGAACGTAGATTTACCCCAATGAGACCCAAATTGGGCCGCCGAATCTGCTCGTGCTTCCGCTCATGCGGCTGATGCTGTTGTGGCTGGGAATGCGATGAAGCAGCGGCACCTTCCTGCAGGAGTCTCGCCACAGTCCGCTGCGCCTGGCGGCGTCCCTGCCGCCGCACCATCCCCTTCTCCGTCGTCGCCTCGTACACCACCGTACGTGCGAGCGCCGACGTCGGCTGCGCAGAGTAGAATGCCGCCAGGTCGGTGAAGAGCTGCAGCGCACGGTGAAACTTCAGAAAGACGCGCGCCTCCTCCGTCGACACGGCGGCGGTGTCGTCGGCCTGATCCACGACACTGCTGCCGTCATCTGACCATGCGGCCAACGCCCGCGAAGGCGACGTCAGCCTCCTCTCTCGCGGATTGCGCGGAGCGGGCGACAGCACCGATGCCTCAGCTTGCCGCTGCTTCTGTTCTTGCGCATTGGCTGTCTTGCTGGCGTCCAACATGTAGGCATCGTAGTAGCGCATCTTCTTGGGCGCATTCACGCCACTACTGGCGGCATCAGCAGCCGCGTGGCCTGATGCTGCCGTGCTGTTTTGCTGCTGTTCCCCCCTCTCCACGCCGACTGCCGCTGCTGCTGTTTTTGCGGTACCAGTGTAACTTACGTCCTCTCCTACGGCACCACGCAGCGGTTCGGAGAAGTTGAGTGCTGCGGCGGCATCCGTAAAGGCAGCCCTAAACGTATGGTGGATCGCGTAGCTAAGTACAATGAATGTGAGGCGCTGATGGCGCTGCTGCTCCGAGACTGCCAGCGACGCGTACATCTCCTCACCCAAGATCCCACTACCACTCCGCTCCTTCCGCCCACTCTTGCCAGGGTCGTTATTGTTCTTGTCGCTCTCGTTGTTACTGCTACCGCCACTGCTGTGCTCACCCGCGGTGGAGGGCGGTTGCTCACCCGTGTTCCACCGCTGCTCCTGCGCCGCAAAGAGAGTGTGCACCGACGGGCGTGAGGGGTGGTCGGGTGTGTCCCACGTCACCGCGTGGAGTCCGTTCATCAGCGCACCTGTCGCGTCCACAATGCGGAACACTTCTGAGGCGTCGGTGCTGCTGCTGTTGCTGCTGGACCCGAGGTACGACAGAGAAACAAGGTTTAGATTCGATATGAGTGCGCGACGCACCTGCTGCGCATCCTCATTGTGGTGAGAGAACTCAGAGGCGAGCAGCTGCCGCGCCCGCGGGTCCTGCGAGAGACAGAGGCCCAGCAGAATCGCCAGTTCCACCGCGAGCATCAGCGCGGCCCCGTCGCTGCTGCCGTTACTAGTGCTGTTGTTGTGGCTGTTCGGTACGCCGTCGCCGCGGCGGGCCTCGTGCTGCTCCGCCAGCCGCACGCTCACCTCCAGCACACGCGACACAGAGGGGAGGTGCTGCATCAAATAAAAGGCCCCATTGCGATAAAACGGTGCGTGTTGTATGAGCAAGCGCAGGCAACGCGCTGCCAGGCATGCAGTAGAGGTGGCAACCGCAACATCATTGCCAGCAGTAGCACCAGAAGTTGAATCGGGTGCCGACGAAAATTCCCTGCGAGAGCGCCACTGCCGTTGCTGCCGCTGTTGTTGCGGTGGCGGTCGCTGTCTCCCTTGACTCTGGCGTGTGTGACGGTCGTGCTGTGCGCTGAATATCGGTGCCCTCTTGTCGCCAGAGACTACAGCTGTAACACTGCTGCTGCTGTTGCCGCCTCCGCAAAGCGGAGACACGGCGTCCCCAACGATGGCTGCAAGCGCACGGTCCGCAAACAACGCGAGCAACGCCTCGGACACGCTTTGATCGCCGCAGCCGCCACCGGACGCATCACCACCACCACCACCAGAAGCAGAAGCAGAAGCAGAAGCAGAATTAGCATCCTGAAGAATGAGTGTTTCAATGAGGCACATTGTTGCACGCAGCGCGTCGTGGTGGGACTCCCGCTCCAGTTGTGTGGCACACAACGCGGCAAGCTCCTTTTTGAATGGCACCGCCCCCCACTGCAGCGGCGTGCAGTGGCGCAGGACGACGTGCAGCGTCTCAATCGCCAACGCGCGCAGATCGGCGCACGCCTCCGTCTCACTGATGCGCCGAAGCACGTCGAGCACCTCCACCCGCGCGAGACACTCGCTGTGCGTGTTAGCGAGCTCACGCACACACGCCGCCACGTGCAGCCGCAGCGGCAGCCGCAACTCGCGCACCGCCGCAGTG